GGGATATTCCTGTAGGAATCTTCTCAGTAGTCTTACATCTATATTTTGTGGCTTCTATCATCTCTTGACTTCTCACTTAGGGTCCTGGTTACATATTAAATGATAAAACGCTCTGCCTCTTGCAGACCAGCAACAAAAATGTTAATAGTTCTGTCATGGCTTTAGGGCTCTGCCAAGTGTTTTGTAGACTAGAAGTGCAGTCTTCTATTTTTGCCCTCTTAAAAGCACTCGCCCTCGAGGGGCGCCTGGGTGGCTCAGTAGGTTAAGCGGTTGACTTCAGCTCAGGTCATGGTCTCACAGTTTGTGAGTTCGAGCCCCGCGTCAGGCTCTGTGCTGACAGCTCAGAGCCTGGAGCCTGCTTTGGGTTCTGTCTCGCCCTCTCTCTCTGCCCCTCCCCTGCTAGCATGCTGTCTCTGTCAAAAAATGAATAAACATTAAAAGCACTCGCCCTCACTGGTCTTCATCTTCCCTGAATCCCAGCACTGGAATCTCTAGCACCTAGGGAGGTACCCCTCACCAATACACACCTTTCTAGAGGGTGCTCTATATCAAATTTTGTCTTCCTGGCTGCATTATAAGCCTTGAGGGCAGGAGTCACTACCCCTCTTAGAGCTCTTAGCACAGGGATGGCCCAGTGATACAGATATAGATTTATAATCTATAAGGATGATTTCGGGGATGCATTTTTATCCTTTTCCTCTGTATTATAATGGGGGACAGGTGGTATCTTTTCCAGTGATTCATGCACTATACCTGAATATCTTGGGTGCCTCTTTATCCCAAACCATTATGTTGCTCATGTTGTCTTTGTCACCATGGGAAGAAAAAGTTGATCTGGTAACTTCTGAAATTTTCAAATGAAAAGGAATTTCTTTCCAGGACAGGATGATGAGTTTTGGCAGCATTGTTCCATTGCACAGCTCCAGGGGGGTACATTCACAGCTTTTTCCTATGTGAATAGCACCCGCTTCCGCTGTGCTACACAGTGTCCTGAGGGATGGAACTGATTTGGCAGTTCTCTCCTATATCCTCTGCAATACCATTGTTGTTACTCTTCAGTCTGCAGGGTTTTACCTGTGGCAAAACTGGAAAGCATGCCAGCACAGGTTAGGTGACTCTTCAGGGTGTCTAGGCTGTGTGATTCTAGAACATTCCATTCACAAATTCCTTGTGAGACACTGCCCGTTTCCCACTAGGCCCAAAGACACCATACTTTGCAGTAACTAAAGTATGGTGTCAATTACATCAAGACGACTAACACTTTTGATGGGTGGAGAAGAGGTTGTAGACAACTATTCAGTCTGAGACTAGGGAAAGTAAATTGGATCCAAAGATTCTGTGAAGGTCCTTCCCCACCTTTCTTTAGCAGAGAGTAGTAGAGGTTCAATGACAGCTGACTCACGCCAAGGTGGCTCAGCCCCTTGTCTCATCACCACCAGCTGAGTTTGCCTGACAAGCATAAAGCAATATGAAGAGTCTGATTTAATAGGCTTTAAGACATCCACCTGCCTTAAAATCTTTTCCTTTGTTCAGTCTCTAACAGTTGAAACCAATTAGTAGACCCTTTTTTCTTTTGTGTCAAGTAATGCTTCCTGTGAAGAATTAAGGATAGGCTTAACATTAATTTATTAGTGTTAGAAATCAGAATAATGGTTACCCTTGGGGAATGGTATTGACTAGGAAGGGAACAGGGAGTTTCTCAGCTGCTGGGAATGTTCTGTTTCTCTATTTAGGTGTTCCATCTGTGAAAGATTTATGGGACTTTACAGTTATGATTTGTATATCTTTCCATATGTTTATAAATCCTCAAATTAAAGTTTATTTAAAACAATTCTTAGAAGATAGCCTCAGGAAGCATTCACAGATATTTATAACTTAGTTAAAACAAGGACATGAGCTTGTTTCCAAAAGGGAGTTAGCAGTTTGCTGAGACTACTGGATGCCGAGGGGGAAGAGTAGATAACAATGGAGAGAAAGGGCCAATTTGTCTTCTTTAAGCTTATGTCTGGGGTTCATTCTGCCTTGGTTCTTCTGGGAACAGAGTACAATTCCCCAGTGAGTTACATACTTCTTTTGAGTCTATTCCCATTCTCCTTCAAGGATCTAAGAAAGGTGAGCAGGTTACAGAGCAGATTGGAATGAAAAGTGACTTTTTTGGCTCAGATCCAGAACTGGTAATAGAAGGTGATTCTCTTGGGCATTCAGCTTCAGGAAAGCATGGAGCCAGTATTTCATCTGGAAAGCAAACCATAGATGAGTTCTTCCAGCATGACCTGGCTCCAGTTAGGTGGGAAGAGACCAACAAACTGTAGCCACCTGGATACCAGTTGTATACAGATTTATGTTTATGTGTTGGTGGAGAGAGAGGTGCAGAGCTCAGCTAGGAATCTTTCCACCACACTCTCCTCCAAACCAGTGGATGTCTCTTCATCCCCTCTTCTTCTGTGTGACACACACATGGGGTCCATGCATGTGAGCAGGTGTCCTTCTTCCCCTCCAGCTGGTGAGTCAGCCAGCTCTCTCAGGTCACCATCCAGCTTCTGAGGAATATTTAGACTGAACAGGTGATTTCCGGGTGCAAGCTGGCAAGGCTGGCCTCGTGGAGGAATGCAGATAAAAGTGCTTTGGGAAAACGCTTGTTTGGCCTGCGTGCATTCGCATTCATGTTACTCGTAAACAGTTATATATTCTCAACTGGAGCCCCGTTTGTTTCTTCTGTACTACCTGAGTCCAAATGTGAGGCTAAAGAAATACCAATAAATCCTTCTTGTTGGTGAATTTTTTCTCTTCAAGGACATCAGTATTGATAGCAGTTGCACAAAGGGACCCCGCACCAGCTTTCCCTGGGGGGTCCTGGAGTTCTTCTTTCTTTCTTTTTTTTTAAATTTTTTAAAATGTTTATTTATTTTTGAGAGAGACAGAGACAGAATGCAAGTGGGTTAGGGGCAGAGAGAGAGGGAGACACAGAATCGGAAGCAGGCTCCAAGCTCTGAGCTGTCGGCACAGAGCCCGACGTGGGGCTCAAACTCACGAGCTGTGAGATCATGACCTGAGCCAAAGTCGCACGCTCAACCAACTGGGCCACCCAGGCACCCCCCTTGAGTTCTTATTTCTGTGGAACAAATGAGCTTTATCAACAACGGGCTCACATTCTCCTCATGTCCCTGTTCTCTGTCTCAGTGTCGAAATGGAACCAAATCTCAGCACTGCACGAGTCTGTTTACAGCTATTTTATTACAGTCTGGACCTTGTTAGTTTTCTCAATCCCATGGGCCTCAGAGAAAGATTCTGAGAAAAAAGTCATGTCTCCTAAGAAAGGTCAGAAATTTGAAGTCACATGTAACCGCTGATTTAGTGGTAGTTAAAACATTACCACCCTGCATTTGTAAAGCACTTTGCATTGGCACTTTTATAAGCCTTAGCTGATTTGGTTCATCTAACAGCCCTGTTAGGTAGTAGGCATTATCTCTGTTTTACCGGCTGGGTGACCTATTCAAAGCCACACAGCTGTTCTTATGACTGCCAGTACAGTGTGCCATTTTTCCTATTCCCCTTGTTATTAAAGATATTTTAACATCAGTAATCAAAACAGGAAGCCAGTTGTGACATTTATGTTAAGATCTGGTTATATTACTGGTCTAATGAAGCAAATATTTTGGAAAGACACCCAAGTTAGAGACTGGCCATAGACAGTAGCCTCCTTTCATGGAGCGCCTCTTGCCTGTTGACTGTGGAGGCTGCTCAGAGAGTCTTCAGACTTGTCTGCAGAGCAGGGCAGCCCTGGCTTGCTGAGGTATAGTGAGGGGCTTGAACTTGGAAGCTTTCACTGTTTCCCTAAGCCTCCAGTGTTTCCAGGTTTACTTTTGCAAGCTTATTATTGACTAAATGGCTATATTGATTCTATACAATGAGATGACATAAAATATGGAAACGCTTAATGTTCAATAAGACTATGAGCCAGGCTCTCTTCTAAGAGCTTTGCATACATTAACTCATTTGGTCTTCATAACGACATTTGATTATTCCCACTTTTCACTTGAGAAGGCTGAAACTGAGCAAGTCATTTGCCCAAGGTCACGATGCTAATATATGGAGGAGCTGGGATTGAACCCACTAAAATTCCAGAGTCTGAGCTCCCGGTCACTTCAGTATGATGCCTTAGGCAGGTCTTCTAGGGCAAGCTCTTTTTTTCATTTATATAAAACTCAGATCCTTAGATTTAAGTCCATCCTAGGAGATCATTGGCAAAGGAGTTTTCTAAACATCTCAAATGGGGACCAAGAAAACTTCCTGAAGAGAAAAGAGAGTTGAGGCGTATACCACTTCTAGACCTGACCTCCAGGAAGTTACTCATTGATGGGCGTTCTCCAGCATATTGCTGATTCCCATAACTGTGAAATGAGAGTGGCCCCTTTCCCCTGGAAACTGACAGAGGACTTTGCACTGTAGACTCCAGGAAACTCAGTCTCAGATCAAGGACTCAGCATTCTGTTCTTTGTTTCCTTGAGAGCAGAATGGCATCATTTCAAGTCAAGCAGCCATACGAACATGAGGCTGGGCTACCCACATACAGGTAAACGTTCCAAACAATTTTCAGTGGAGTATGGAGTATAGGTACCAACTCCATAACAGGGCAACTGAGAAGCATAGGTGTTTAACTTAAGATTCCTAGATACCCAGCAATGGGTTTTAGGGGCAGGGGGATGAACTTGCATAATTGTGTGCCACATTTTGGTTACATGTGTATGGTATACTTTTTTCATTGGAGTCTCAAAGGGATCCATGACCCCAAAACATTGAATAACTATGACTATAAGCTATGACATCTCATGAACTTATTTATGTGTAGCGTTTCTGGGACATCAGATGGCAGACTATAAAAGCATTGGTTTTATGAATTTTAGGGATCGTTGTGATCTATGTAATTTTCACTTTACTAATTGTCTTTACATAGATACAGAATTGATTCAAATAGGCCTTTGCATTATGTGTATTTACAGACTGGATTTTTCCATCTACCGCATGGAGACTTCTTCATTGAGCCTGTCAAAAAGCATCCACTGACTGAGGGAGAGTACCACCCACACATCATTTACAGAGGGCAGAGTCAGAGAGCTCCAGAGCAGAAGGAACCAACCTGCGGATTAAAGGGTATTGTGACTTAAATTTCCTTACTGCATTGAGGAGTTTGTCTTGGTTCTATTATTGTTTTATTACATCATGACTTATTCTTACTCAAATCTTTTATCTCCTCCCCACTCTTCTGTTGCCACAAAGTATGTGCCCCTGTAGAATCATTTCACTTCTCCATAGTCTCTTCATATTCTTAATGGGAAGGGGAGAAAGTATCTTCTACATCCTTGCCACATTAATCAATGATACTTACATGATATGCACAATGGTGAATTTTTTTTTTTCTAAGTAGGCTTCACATCCAGGGTGGAGCCCAGTTTGGGGCTTGAACTCATGACCCTGAAATCAACACTTGAGCTGAGATCAAGAGTTGGACCCTTAATTGACTGAGCCACCCAGGTGCCCCTGTTTTTTTTTTTTAAACTTTTTGAATCCTCTAGAGGGAGATAGTTTAAATTAAAGGCAATGATTTCTACTCTTAACAAAGTTATAGTGTGGAATATTACCAAACTGCTTGTCATATCTGCCTTTGGAAGGCAGATTTAAATGTTGATGATGCTGATAATGATGTGTGAAGATAAACTGAAAGATACATCAACAGATATTCATCAGATGATGAACTGAGCTAAGCTTCTTTTGGCTGCCTTTTGTTTGTAGTTCACTGACATGTTTCCTGACCTTTGGACCCTGGAGTGACCTGAACTGGTCCTCTCTGCCTTGTGCTAAACAGTTTCAGGTAGTTTTCAGAGGTAAACTGACCAAGTTATTTACTTGCAATTCCCACATTCTCTTTGATTTGTAGAAGATAATAATCTATGCATAAAGCGCCCCTGGAAATGGGAACATTTTCTTAAGTATTGCATAGTTTCTCCTTTCTTCAGAGGAAAAAAATTATGGGCCGGGGGCCAGTTAACAAAAGGAATCATTAATATTATTTATATGTCTTAAGGATTTGGAAACCATGGACCTCAATGAGAAAATAGATAGTGAAGGAATTAGCGCTGGTGGATTCTGATCATGGTTTGAGAGGACTCAGAACTTGAGCTTTGCAGGCAAGAGAAGGAAAGGACAAGGGCACAAGTAATTTCTCTACAGACTTCACCCAGACCCTGGGATAGATGGTAACTTTCCTGGGAGTTTCTTCTGTAATCTTAGCAGAGCAGAGTATGTAAACAATAAGAAATTTTGAGTCTATAATGTGTTTTTACACGAAAATGGACAGCTGCTTAAATTCTTTAACTTTAGGAAGCCATTCCAACTTTGTCCTTAATTGGAAAACTTACTGTCTAAATCTCCTTCGAGCAAGAACTGGGAGAAGATACTTCTTCTGGATGATCTGATTGATTAAATTACTAATTCAGATAACTTAGTCTCAGTGTGAAATTTTAGGGCTCTGATCTAATCACTTGAAGACTTTCCCAATTCCTATTACACACTGGATGATGGGATAACACTTTGTATGTGTGATTTACTATTTTTTAGATCACTGGGTCATCACTATGGCAGAGAGAGTGATTAGGGCAGTGAGTGAACTTGCCTGGAGAATCACTTCTGTAGCTACAGTTGCTCTGTGAAGTGAGTTAGGCTAATCCTCATCCACCTGCCTTGAACACCTCTCTGTTGAGGTAGAGTTCATTAATAATGAGTTGAGAATGGCACATATTTAGTCATAAAGGCAGAAAGGATAGATAGGAAAAGAGGGGTTTACAAATGTCATGTCCCTGTTAGGTCACGCACAATACCTCAGCTATGGCACTTGTCATATCATTTCGTTATTGTGTTTCCCCACCAACCCTAAGGCTTACCATTACTTTGGAAACTGCTCTGATTAATGCTACTTGGAGAAATATTTGTATTGTGAATTTCTCCACACATATCTTCTAAAAGATATTCTCTTAAACTGGCTTAAAACCTCCCACTGTCAGAACGGAACAGCTCTTTTGGAAGGACCTTTCAGAATGCCTAATGCAGCTCCTTTTTTTCACCAAAGATGCAATGCGATTCAGACAAAGGAGTGAACTTTCTATTTTAAAAAAGCTTTTTTAATACTTACTTATTTCTGAGAGAGCACAGGCAGGGGAGGAACAGTGAGAGAGGGAGACACAGAATCCGAAGCAGGCTTCAGGCTCTGAGCTGTCAGCACAGAGCCCGGCGTGGGGCTCAAACTCACAAACTATGAGATCATGACCTGAGCCGAAGCCAGATGCTTAACCAACTGAGCCACCCAGGTGCTCTGGTGAAGGGAGTGAACATTCAAAGCCATCAAAGCAGTAGGTGTTCTGAAGTTAGCCAAGCTTAGAAGTCAAGGTTCTATTATACCTTGGGCTTTATACTCCCTCATGTTTATTCTTATGTCTTCTTTGAATATATAAATCTTGTTTTATCAACAGTCTTGAAAGCCCCATTGGAGTAGGAATTCCCTTCCCAAACAGTATGTAACGTAGTAGGTGGTGCAAACTAGAAATTTAGTGAATCATTGGAATGAAGTAGTGATTCATAGCCAGATAGATGAGACTAGAGTATACTAGCCTCTTGTCTATATAACATTGATAGAAAGAAAAGAGAAATGTGTATTTTCTAGAAGTTCAGAAGGTGTCAGTTGTTCTGTGAACATCTCCCTTCCTAAGACAACAATATGATTTAATGCCTAAATGACAGCTAGAGAATCAAGAATAATCTAATGTGCTTGTGAATATTCTTAAAATATATATGACATTTGGGTTTTAAAAATCTTGCTTTATTTAAATGTACTTGGTCTTTCTAAACAAGGTAATTGTGGTGTTCTTATGTCACATTACCCTGCCGAGATGATGGAATTAACTGACAGTGGCCATTAGCCAACATTAAGGTACACTTCATACTTAGGTCAGTTGGTGTTTCGAGGTTGAATTACTGTGATTATATCAAGAAAGATCACCTTTACTTGTGTAACGTGTTCTGCCTTTGTAAAGTTCAAGGCAGAAACCCCCTTGGTAGTGAAAAAAAAGATGTACTTTAAAAATGCTCTAGTAGTTCAAGAGAGAAAATGTATCAGTTATTTTCCTCTAAAATGTGTCCCTTTACTTATGTTTATTTCCCATGTAGAAAGGTGTTCAGGAATTTCACAATGGGTCCCTTATCAATATGGTCTAAAAGTTCATTTTACCGACAATGACAAGTTCCTTTATCTGAAGTTTTTTGTCAAGAACATATCACACTGGGACTTGAGTGGGTTTTAGATGGATATCTGGGGGAACTATGGTTTTAGGAGACTGGGGAAGAGGAGAATTAATACTAGTCAGATAGGTCTGATGCTAACGGCTACAGGGTTATCAATGGCAGGAAGAGGTCTAGGCAGGTAAGGTCAGAGTTTGGGATTTGATGCATTAGGTATTCTAGGTTAGAAACATAGGGTCTGGTTCCTGGCATGCATTTTTGTGTTCAAAATTTATTCATTCAACATCTATATATTGAGTATATTCTTTTTTAAATGTTTATTTATTTTGAGAGAGCGCATGAGCATGATCTGAGGAGGGGCAGAGAGAGAGGGAGAGAGAGAATCCCAAGCAGCCTCTGTACTGTCGGTGTGACCTGAGCTGAGGTTGGACGCTTAACTGACTGAGCCACCCAGGTGCCCTGAGTACATTCTTTATGTCTGGTGCTCCCCTAGGTTCTGTGGGTTCATATGTGAATAGGATATAATTCTTGGTCTTCAGAGCTGACAGCCTGGATGTGAGACATGGGTAAGTCGGGATCTGGTCCTAGTTTTATTTTTATAATATCTGGTAAGACCATGAAGGAAAATGGAACCTCAATGCATGAATTGGGATTTTTGTCACTGTACATTATATTTTTGCTAGGACATGTAGCTATAATTCATTCATTTTCCCTATCACTGCATTTCATTATGTGAATGTTCCACCTGATCCTGTCTCCTGTGTGTAGATCTGAACTGCTCCCAGTTGGGGACAATTATATAGGCCAACTAACCTTCAACAAAGCAGGAAAGAGTATCCAATGGAAAAAAAAGACAGTCTTTTCAGCAAATGAAGAGAAAACTGGGCAGTGATATGCAGAAGAATGACACTGGACCACTTTCTTACACCATACACAAAAATAAACTCAAAATGGATGAAAGACCTAAATGTGAAATAAGAAACCATCAAAATCCTACAGGAGAAAACAGGCAGCAACTTCTTTGACCTTGGCTGCAGCAACTTCTTACTAGACATGTCTCTGCAGGCAAGGGAAATAAAAGCAAAAATGAACTACTGGGACCTCATCAATGTAAAAAGCTTCTGCACAGCAAAGGAAACAATCAACAAAACTAAAAGGCAACCAATGAAATGGGAGAATATATTTGAAAATGATCTGTTGTATACAGGGTTAGTATCCAAAATCTATAAAGAACTTACCAAACTCAAAACCCAAACAAATAATCTAGTGAAAAAATGGCAAAAGACATGAATAGACAATTTTCCAAAGAAGACATCCAGTTGGCTAATAGATATTTAAAAAGATGCTCAATATCACTCATCATCAGGGAAATAAAAGTCAAAACCACAACGAGGTACCACCTCACACCTGTCAGGATGGCTAAAATTAACAACTCAGGAAACAAGAAGATACGGCGAGGATATGAAGAAAGGGGAACCCTTTTGCACTGTTGGTGGGAATGCAACCTGGAGCAGCCACTCTGGAAAACAGTATGGAGGTTCCTTAAAAAATTAAAAAGAGAACTACCCTATGACCCAGCAATTGCATTTCTAGGGATTTACCCAAGGGATACGAAAATACTGATTCAAAGGGGGCACATGCTCCCTAATGTTTATAGCAGCACTATCAACAATAGCCAAATTATGGAAAGAGCCCAAATGACCATCAACTGATGAATGGATAAAGAAGATGTGGTATATACTTACATTGAACTGGATAACATTTGACTCTGCAGTTGTGCAAAACTCATGTGCTTTTTGATCTCAGAAGCTTTCTTTAAGGATAACAGGATGGAGGGTCTCTGTGACTAAGTCAATCCCTAC